AGCTTCAACAATAAGTCAGTTCTATTGTATGTCTGCATAACAAGAGTAAATGAATCCAAGGCGGATTGGCTCTGGGATTTTGGTTCCCTTCGCAAATTGGGCATTTTGTCATCTTTAATGTTAGGAAGCAAAGCCATTAAAGCACCTGCCACAAGGAGTAAGATAAAGATCACCACAGAAGAGAAGTGAAGTAGTCGGATTCCCATAACTCTTCCTGGTAGCTTACAGATGTGATGACATCTTTATTAACAAAAATTGAAATGGGAAGAGAAAATTCATCAATCGTCTCCCTACATATTTGTCAGTTCAATGTAAAATTAACATGGACCTCACTCTTTCTCATAGGGCAGGTACGCAGGGAGGATTCTTTGTTGATGGGTATCCTAGGTAAACATTTTAAATTTTTATGTACTTTTGCTCTCTTTTATTCTCAAGACAGATATGAGTCAGATGCAACTTTCTAAGCTTGCTACTGATCAATAAAGATTATTAAAAAAAACTAGTGGGTGATATCATGCTGGGAGTGGCTTTTTGTTTTGCTTAAGCAGAAGCACCCCTCCCCCCATTGATTTCAGTGGGGAGTTCTGTTTAAAAATTGGTGGCATGTGATGATCCTTCATGTTTAAAACCCTAAAGAAAGTATTTAAAGTTTACAGGGATGTTACTTTCCTCTGGATACAATAAATGCAAGCACTTAATTAATTACATAATATATAGACCAGTTTAGAAAATATTAGCGTGAGACAATTTAATAAAGTCATACTTTTAGTTTTAAAAAAATGTACTTACCTCATTTTTGCCAAGTTGGACTGGGTTTATTTTGGTCTGTTTTAAAGGATGGTGCTGATTAGGTGAAATCAATTCTGTATGGATCTGTTGGAGGTGAAAGGAATTATGTAACTTTTGATCATGCATTTGCTCACCGACCACCCAAGATCCTGTCACAATCATATATGTTTGTGTATAAGGCAAGTGTTCATCTCAACAACCGATGAATGTACACATTCTTGGCAACTGTCCATCTTTTCCTGTTGTTCAGCTGAAGAGTTTTCATTGGATTTCATGACCACTATAAAAATGCATTGCTAAACCAGTATGTTAGAAAGAAAAAAGTTCTTACCTCAAGCATATTTAGCTGCTCATTGCAGTATTATTTATTTGTATTACAGTAACACTTACAGGCCACTTACAAACAACACAGGCCCCCGTTTTGCTAGGTAATCTGGACGAGCTTACGATCTAAATAAACAAGATAGGGTGGAAAGAGAAACAGAGGCACAGAAAGATGACGTGACCTGCCCAAAATGAAACATCAGGTTGGTGACACAGAGCTATGAAAAGAACTCAGGTGTCCTCAATCTCAGTCCAATATGCTGTATCCACTAGACCACATTACAGTACATCGTAGGCTACCATAATCACAGCTGGTTCAGGTGATAGTCTCCCATTTTTCCAGTGCATACCTTTCATGTTCTCCATCTCCCACGTTTATTGGTTGATTTAGAGGTTAAAGGGGAAGCATGTATGGTGATCAGTTGGTTTTACGATTTTTCGCATCTCATCTGAAGGCAGGTTAGGTGGGGATGGCAATAAAAGTTCAGGGGCAAGAGGGTAGGTGGGATGGTAGCAAAAGTGGAAGAGCAGAAAGGAAGGATGGTCTTGTAGTTAAGGTACTAGATTGCAGTCCAGGAGATCCAGGTTCAGTTCATATGGTCTTGTAGTTAAGATACTAGATTGCAGTCCAGGAGATCCAGGTTCAGTTCATAGTTTTGTCACAGATTTCCCATACGACATTGGACAGGTCACTTGTGCCAGTGAAGGAACTAGGGGTCTCCCTGCCTGCAGGCCATTGCAGGATTGGGGCCTTAATCTCTCTGTCTAGTGGCATCCTCATTTTATAGAAAGGGAAATACTTCCCCTCCCTCTCTCTATTTAAATTATTAAATTAAGTTCTTTGGGGAAGGGTTATTTATACTCTGTGTTTGCACTGTGCCTAGCACAATAGGGCCACAATTTTTGTTGATGCCTCTAGCTAGCACTCTAACACAAATAGTTAATAATAAGGGTGAGCACTCTATGGGTATCTGTGAACTGCAGAGGTGGCATTTTCCATTGCTGCGAATCAGAGTGAGCATTTCATACATTTTGGATGGAAGACAATCATAGAAGTATAGGACGGGAAGGGACCTCAATAGGTCATCTAGAGTCCAGTCCCCTGCTGTCAAGGCAGGACTACGTAGAACGAGAACAATTTTTCACCCTCCTTCTTGTAACAACCTTTTGTGTACTTGAAAACTGTTATGTTCTTCCCCTCCCCCATCTTCTTTTCTCCAGACTAAGAGGAAATTAGTGAGGGTTTTTTTTTGTTAAATCTGTCTGTGTGAGGAACATAGATACCTCCTTCTATGTTTGGACAACAGAAATATGGAAACTTGGAAGAGGAAGAGCTAGCATTAAGTTGTTGAACCTATGCTTCCATATCAACAAAATAACTTATTTTAGGTTATATAAACTTTACTGATAGAAATGCAAATTGGAAAGTCTGTATATTTACAGCACAGTCTTGTGATCTGAACATGTGATAGGCAGTCAGGACCTCCTGAGTTTAGGTTCTGGTTCTGATTCTGTGTGGCCTTGAAGAAATCACTTACACCGTTTTCAAAAGTGACCACTGAGTTTGGTTGCCTCAATTTGTGGGTGTCCAATTTGAGACACCATTGTGCCTAACTTTTGGAAGTGCAATTCCTAATTAAATCAATAGGAGCTGCAGCTTCTCAGAACTTGTCATCCCAGAGGTGTCTCAAGATGGTCTCCAGAAAACCGATACAGCTGCAATCAATATGAATTTTTAAAAATGTGGATCTTAAATTGTATCTCAGATTCCCTATTTTCAAAACAGGCATTGTGATACTTGCCAAGATTGTTGTGAAGATTAACTAGTTAATATTTTAAAGCACATTGAAAATGCAAACATAAGTGCTATGTGCTATTTTAAAACTTTTGGGTTTCTGTACATTTGTGTTTACTTAATGACATACAATGGGCTGTAAATGCTAAATAAGGATATCACAGATGAATCTCGATTTAAGATATTAAATTAGAATTAGTATCATGTTTCAGAGTAGCAGCCGTGTTAGTCTGTATCCGCAAAAAGAACAGGAGTACTTGTGGCACCTTAGAGACTAACAAATTTATTAGAGCATAAGCTTTTGTGGGCTACAACCCACTTTATGCACACGAAAGCTTATGCTCTAATAAATTTGTTAGTCTCTAAGGTGCCACAAGTACTCCTGTTCTTTTTAATTAGTATCCTGGTGCTTTCATGTATGAATATGCTGAACAATGCAGCAAAGTAGGATATAAAATTCCACTACAACGGTATTGGGCTTCTTCCCATATTCAAAGACTCACATTCCTTTGTAAGGAATATTTACCTCTTTTAAACAGAAATAAAATACAAAACAAATACTGAGAAAGTCAAGATATGCAATTTTAACCCTCCTTTTAAGAAAGAATTCTTCTGAAGCTGCTGTCTCTCTGCCTACACAGTATCCCCCTACCCATTCTAATAATCAGCATTCATTTTATGAAAACAGTTCATTAAAAAAACCCAAATAAATTAAATTATTCAAAGAACAGCCACTTCACATCGTTGTCCAAATTTAAAATACCTTCCATATTATTGCATTTTATTGTATCCTTACCTAGAATGCTGGAGACCGTGAGCCAGACAGCTTATTTGTCTAAGCCTTGATTTACATGAGGAAGAATGGAGATTTTTTTAACCGAGCATAAGAAGTCTGCACATTTTTTGTAAACTCAGTTAGCTTGCACTGGTTGTATTTTTATGTCAACAACATTGATAGAAAAACCCTCCTCTCCTCATCCCAACATGAGAGATTCAGCAGAAGGGCTGGAACAAGCCCGTACTACCTTCCCTTTCTGTGGCATAGTACTTCCTGCTGGATGAAAACACTCCTCCTCCCAGCAGGCTCGAATTTGTAGTTCATGCTTTATCCCGACCATAACAGTTTGTCTTAACTCTTCTTTCAATCAAGCTTTGATTCTTTCAGAGAGTCAGATATTTTTTGAATGTGTTTGTTTTCAGTGTCACAGATGGTACCCATCTGTTTTATGGGAGGAGAAGTTCACCTTGAAATATACCTGAGAATGTATAAAACTAAATTTCCCTTATTTCTCTTACAGTCTCTATTATTAAATCTCTTCCTCATTCCCGTTCAAATACAAATATTTCTCTAGAGATTGCGGGTCACACAGAAAAGCAAGATATTATAATTATGTGAAGTTCATTTAGATAGAAAATAAAAGGGGAAATCTACATATCTAACCTATTCACGCCTTCGCTGATACAAATACTATTTTACCGTGTAGGATATTATAGTACAGTGAGGATTTTGCAGCCACCTTCGGTGGTTTTTATTTAGTAACAACATAATCTTTCAAGAAGGTGTTAGGATTTCACTGCCTCGGAGAACGCTGTATAAAATGCATGGAAATCAAATAGCTAAAGAAATTGCTGTATAGAATGCGTCCCTGGACTGGTGTGTGTGTTGGCGGAGGGAGGATCCATACAGCTTCTCTCGCCTATCAAAAGATGAAAGTGATCTGCAAGCAAATTATTGATTTTCCTGAACTGCGCTTTCAAGCTGCGGTGTCTAGGGGGCTGGGTCAAGCAGCGAAGCTATGCAGTAAAAAGAGGATTATTTTGATTTAGAAAGGAGGTACTTATGGGCGCACCACAGAGGATTCTGGGTGGTGAGAGAGGGCAGACTCAAGGAAAGGGAAGAGAACACGCCGGCAGGCTCAGACACCAGCTTCCCCTCACACATCCCCGCCCCTTCCGGATAGAGTCTGGGGCCATTGTCCTGCCAATCGCCCGCCTCTCCTGGTCTAGCTCCGCCCCCAAACATGGGACTGGGATTCTGGCCACGCCCACTCTCCCTCGTGGCGCCGGCGCAGGCGCAGAGCAGGTGCCGGAAGTGGATCCCGGCGCGGCGAAGGGGCGCTGCAGCCGCGCCGCTCCCAGCCTGCCCCGCTCCTTTCCGGGGCCGCCTGCGCCCGGAAGATGTTGCCTTTGTCCATCAAGGACGATGAGTACAAACCGCCCAAGTTCAACCTGGTCAGCAAGGTCTCGGGCTGGTTCAGGTGAGCGGCGGGGGCCGGGCCTGGGGGGGTCTCCCGGGGCGCTGGGTGGGGGGCAGTGGCCGGGGTGGACACGGCGGCCCCAGGCCTCGGCGGGGGCTCTGTGCCTGGGAGCCGGGGAGCGGCGCCCTAGGGACCCCGCCACCTGCGGAGGGAAGGGAAGGGAAGGGGTGGGGGTGGCGGCTCCGCGCTGGGTCGCCCCCCGGGGTCACGCTGTCAGCTGCCGGGCCCTGGCCGTGCCCCGCGCCGCAGTTGCCCTCCCCGGGGCCGCGGCAGCGAGTGACCGCTGTGCCCTGTGTCTAGGTCCATCCTGTCCGACAAGACCTCGCGGAACCTGTTCTTCTTCCTCTGCCTCAACCTCTCCTTCGCCTTCGTGGAGCTGCTCTACGGCATCTGGAGTAACAGGTACCGGCGCGGGGGCGGCTCCCGCAGCAGCCAGTGCCACGTCTACTGAGCCGCTGGGGCCGCAGGCTTGGAGTGCGAGCACCGGCAGGCAGGGTTTACGGGCGGGGGTGTCCCTGAAGTGGGGGAGGTTGAGTCGGGGCAGGTCAGGGGCTCTGACCTCCCCCCCCCCCCCAAGCTTCCATCAGTTTCAGGGCCATGCTTGTCTCTCAAGCTCCCAGGAGGCAATGGCTCTAGGGCTCAGATTGATAACCAGGCTTGAGTGAGGCTTTTGAATTATTGAAGAAAGATTCCCACAGCATTGGCTTTGTGATGGAGGGGCTGTGACGGCCCCTTCCCTGACATTGTACCCTGCTAGTCTGAGCTCTTGTCTACACCTGGGAGTTAACTCGAATTAAGGAAGGGTGTGACTTGAAAGGAGTATAATGGCCATGCTTAGACAGACCCCAGAAATTAGGTATAAAAATTACATAGCCAGTGCTGGTCTCCTGGGTCCATCTTTCAGGTATTATCCTGCATATTGCTGAAGAGGGCTTCTGACCCCATCTCCTGCTGTGTCTGCTGGGTTCAGGGCAGAGGAGTAGTGGTGGCTTTGGGGTGCACTACACCATTTGGGGATTGCTGCAGTTGCCCTCCCCCCTCCTCCACCTACCACATGGATCCTTTATCTTGAAAGGTGGAAGTGTTGATAAACTGATAGCCAAGAGGCAGAAGCAACACTGCATAGAGTGCCCTTATCTTTGTATCCGTAAGTGGAGTTGAAACATCCTGGAATAGGTAAACAATATGCATCATTAACTCATAGACTCATAAAGCTAGACAAGACACAGACAGGACAAAAGCTTAAGAATCAAAATGAAATACTTTAATAGTAAAAATTGAAATAAAAAAAGTGAAGTGACTTTGGTGCTGGTTTAAGGTGCTCACTTGACACCAGTGTAAATAGAAATAATCTATCCCCTTTAAAAGGAAGTGTACAAACAATGACAGATTTCTTTGCACCATGGATGTGCCTCTCTGTTGATAGAGGGACTGTCCTTAAGTGAGAGATTTCAGTCTTTGTATTCATTCAGGTTTTGGATTCTACAGAGACTGACCACAAAGGTGTCAGCTAGTGCCAATAGTGGGTCCCTGCTTTGTGAACTCAGATTTTGGTTTGATTTCACAAACCGTAAAAGGTCTATTAGACTAACAGTTTTCTATTGTGGGCCTTACTTGAAGCACTAACCTAGAGGTGAAAAGCTCTTTTTCCTGTTACCCTTTTATGATTGTTTTTAAATGTCTCTCTAAACATATGGTAAAATCCTTTGCTTTCATCAAGAGAGTTGCTGCTTCGCCATTGTTTGGATGGCACAGAACGGCAATTAATCGTTTAGATTTGCCTGACTCTGGCTTTGTAGTTATTTTGAGAATTGTGAATAGTTTGCTGTGGGCATAATTAGACTATTCTGGTGTGGAGGAAGGATTAATGTTAGAGATTTCTAAAACTGATCTTTTGAAGGATGTATACGAGGGGCAGGTGATGAAAGGATTTCAAATCTGATACTTGATATTGTTGCCTTAGGTGTGTCCGACTATTCTGCTCACGTCTCTGTCCTAATGGGAGAAGCTAAGAGCAAAATCTCAGATGTTGGAAATGTTCACTAGAAAAGATGTGGTCAGAGAGGTTTTCATGCTCCACTATTTTTGTTCCCACACAAGTTTATCTGAATTTGTGTTTGATCTTTGTGAGTAAGCATACATTTAAGCCTTGTGTGTGGTATAAAATGAATCAAGATCAGGGAATTTGTGTTTTCAGGTGATAAAGTTTTGACAAGTCTGTTAATGATGTAGGTAGGCACTATGGGACTGATTACCATAGCCCAGAATTTTCCTTTCCTTTGTGGGTTTATGTTGGAACCTTAACACTTATATTTTACATTTCTTACTGCCTCTCATTTACATCAGTTGAAGATTTAGACTTGCATTAAAGTTATTGTGCTATTATGTTCTTATAGTAGAGATTAGAATTTTCATTCCAGTCATTCTTTTCAAATGTAAGTTTCATATGCAGTCTTAAAGTTAGATTCAGATAAATTTGCTTTAACTACATAGTTCTAATGCAGTTTCCATAACTTGTATTGCAGTTGTTTTAAGTTTATGACAAGGAAGAAACTGTGGAATAACATGAGTGTGGTAGAAAGGGAAGGAAACCTGTTTGTGTGCAACACGTTTTGTGAAGCTATATCTTGTACAAAAATTGCTTTGTGTATTGCATCAGAGTAAACTTGTCAAAGGAAAAAGGCTGGTAGTATTGCTTAGTGGACCCCTAAAATTTTTTGAATGGAGATGCAGATCCCTTTAGACATAGTTTGCAGACTCCCACGGATCTGTGGACCACAGGTTGAGAGCCACTGGTGTAGCTGAAAACTATCCCAATATCTGAAACATCTTCAAGAAGTTTGTTCTTCTTGTTCTTTTATTGCTGCCCCTATAGTTGTCCCTTATTATGAATATTAGTGTCCCAGTCTGCTGCAAAATATTTTTGTTAGAGGCTGATCTTGAGCGCTGTGGGTAAGTGTGATGTGACGTGATTGTTTTAATGATATTTTGGGGGAATTGTCACCACTGCAATCCTATAATGTTCTAGTAGGCTCAAGACAATGTCTCATGTGTATTGGACCTTATGGTGTGTAAAGTCTTTTTTTTTTTTTAAGAAGGAAAGAAGATTTCAGATCTTTTTAAACACAAGACTACAGTTGTATTTGAACTGTTTTATCATTGTAGAATTAAGCTCCGAAAGGTTGGCATCTATCGGAGGCTTTTCTATAGCACCTAGTATACTATCTAAGGCCCTGACTACAGTATGGGCACTACAAGGGCACAGCTATGGCGCTGTAGCTATGCTGCTCTAGCACTGTAGTGTAGATGTTTCCTACAATGATGGAAGAGGTTTTTCCAATGCTGTAGGTATTGCACCTTCTTCCGCAGCAGTAGTTAGGTCGCTGGAAGAATCTGACCTAGGTGCATCTACACTGGGGGTTAGGTCAGCGCTATAAATTGTATTTTTCACACCGCTAAGCACCAAAGCTCTGCTGTCCTAACTTATAAGTGTAGACCAGGTCTGAGTGTATATTGTAAACAGATATGTGATTGTATTGTATGTCTTATTCTGCAATCCCTTGCTGTTTGCCAAAGGAACACATTTTATCCTATCTTATTTAGGAAGCTGCTTCTGCATAAGCACACTCGATGGCCAAAGATGTTCACCTCTTTACTTAGAGCTTGTGTATACAGGAAGTCATTCTGGAAGGTGCTCTTATTTCAGAATTAGAATAATTCCCCACAGGGAATTAATTAGGAATAGCTATTCTTAAATTTGAACCCTACCTTAATCTAAATGATCTTTCCTGCGGGGGGAGAGCCTTATTTGAGTGTAAAGTCCCTGATATTTGGAGACTGCATGCAGCAGATATACCTATGTCATAACAAGTATTGCCTCAGGATTCCAGGACATTGCACTCCAGCTTCATTTGATATGCTAACTTTTTCCCAACAACTATGAGGAAGGTAGAAGCCTTTGTTTTCCTTTCCATTCTAGGCATCTTGGAACAGTCCTCCTTAGATACCTAGTTAGAGAAAAATGTTCAGTTCAGATGTAAATTTTTTTAGAAATAACCTTGTTTGAAGGATTAGCTTTCAAAGAAGGATGACTCTTCAGTAAAGTAATCCTAATACCACCCTTCCTGTGATCTTCCTCCTAACTAAGGTAGTTGAACCTGCGTGCGATAAGTCTTATGGCTATAGTGGAATGGCTTTCCAGTTTTTATTTGGGGTAAGAGGAATGAGAACTGATAATTTTTAGGACCAATAAAGACTTTTGGAACTGTAATCCTAATTCCCAGTACACTTGTGATTGATTTATAAAGTCTGTACTACTTATATTTCAGGGACTACAAAGTGACCTATCAGAACAACATTTGAAAATGTACTTCAATGTCATTTTAATCACTGGTAGCTAATTTTCAAGTGTATAAACCATTCACTCCTAATGACTATAACCTGTTTTGTTCTGAATTTTAAATTACAGACCAAGTGTTTTGGGGATTATTTTTAATTTAGATCAGAGGTTTTCGAACTTCATTGTACCACGACCCCCTTCTGACAACAAAAATTACTACATGACCCAAGGAGGGGGGACCGAAGCCTGAGCCTGACTGAGCCCCACCACCCAAGGTGGGGGAAGGGGGAAACCAACACCCAAGCCCCGCCACCCAAGGGCTTCAGCCCCACACTTGGGGCCTTTAACCTGAGTCCTGCCACCCAGTGCTGAAGCCCTTGGGCTTTGGCCCTGGGTGGTGGGGCTTCGGCCCTGGATCCCAGCAGGTCTAATGCCAGCCCTTATCAATTAAAACGGGGTCCCGACCCTCAGTTTGAGAACAGCTGATCTTTTATATTCTGTTTGGTATATATTAACCACATGATTAATTTATAAAATAGTTAATAATGTTATTCATTTAAATTTGGAACACTTTTTTTTCTAATTTCTTTTAACAATATTTCTGAATTTAATGTTGATGAAAGATGCTGAAGTAACAGGCTTGGAATAGGAACAACACAGATGGCAACAATTCAAATTTTCCCATACTGGCTTGGAAGGGTCACCTCAAAATGTGAGAATAGTCTGTTCATTGAATTCCTTTACTGAAACTGCCAACAGGCATGCTAGTTGTTGAGGTGGTCTTCTGTGATCTGGACATTTGTTTACTAATAACTGAGACAGTCAAACCCATATCGTGTAGACCAAGGGTCGGCAACCTTTGGCACGCGGCTCGCCGGGGTAAGCACCCTGGTGGGCCGGGCTGGTTTGTTTACCTGCCGCGTCCGCAGGTTCAGCTGATCGCGGCTCCCTGTCACAGGCCAATGGGGACGGTGGGAAGCGGCGGCCAACAAATCCCTCGGCCTGCGCCGCTTCCCGCTGCCCCCATTGGCCTGGAGCGGCGAACCGGACGCGGCAGGTAAGC